GGTTAACACGACCGGAGCTGGTGAACAAGAACAGTGTCACCGACATTAGCAAAAGAATACTAATGGCCAGTGGAGCCTATGTCGGGGCGCGAACATACTCCCCCTTGAGATACATAGGGTGTATCTCAACTTAATACTTGAGCTGAGTAGTACATAGGTTGAACATGCGAACTACTGAGTCTTGATCAGGAGATGGGTGATCGAACTTATGGCCGAGCTGGTCTGGAAAGGTGACTAAGGTAGAGCTGAACTGGAACTGTCGCCGTTGATAGAGCTTATCAGGGCCATAAGGGTTAGTACATTTTTTTTTTTTAATAATAATTGAATAGTCTATGAACATAATTTAAACAAAAATAACTTCTGTCAAATAACAATTGATAACAAATAACGGGTAATAAAAACAAAATTTACAATGAAATAACAAGGTTATATAGATCTATTACCTTAATACCATGTGATTATGTGAAGTCATAGGAGCCAACCTTTCAATGCAACAACTCACCACAAGCTTAGACTTCACACATTACTGTCATATATCAAACCATTAAAAAAAAAATTAAAAACAAAAAAAACTATAAGAGCAGTAATAGTAACTAAATGCTGAACCAGCAATTGGTTATAAGGTTAATAATGTTAAACAAAAAAAAATATTTCAATATATTATTATAACTGAATTCTATAATTTTATAAAGGAGCATAAGAATTAAGTGTAAAAACAGAATTAAAAGGCTTAAAATAAATTACTATAGGTGCATAAAAATTATATTTATTGGATAGGAAGTGGAACTAGCTTCGCTACTGGCCTAACGATAATGCCTTGCTTGGTGAGTAATTTTACTACTCAGACAACCCCATCCCGACCTGGGAGGAACTCTTGGACACGACGTAATTTCCACACTAATGGAGACGAGGTGTTATCCTTTATAATGACTAAATCATCGACCTTTGTGTTCTCCTTGTTGACTAACCAACGTCCCTTGGTCTGTAAAGTGTGTAAATACTCGTTAGACCAACGACGCCAAAATGCCTGAAACACCTGATGAAGGAGCTTCCTACGGTTTCTACGGTGTACCGAACTGATAGGGACCTCTGCTTCAGGCACTGCGCACAAGGGACGACCAACAAGAAAATGACCTGGAGTGAGGCAATCTAGATCATTTGGATCATTAGACGATGGTGTAAGTGGTCTTGAGTTCAGAGCTGACTCTATTCTGCACAGAACTGTAGAAAATTCTTCCAACGATAATACCTGATTGCCAACCACTCGTACTAACAAGAGCTTTGTAGAACGCACAGCCACCTCCCAGAGTCCACCAAAATGAGGGGCACTGGGAGGATTAAAATACCAAGAGCACACAAACGCTGAGCTGAGCTGTTCGCGATTCTTTGGATCATTAACTAGATCAAATAATCTATTTGAGGCACCGACAAAATTAGTGCCACAATCGGTATATACTGCAGATGGCCTCCCTCGTCGAGCTACGAATCGATCAAATGCTGCCAAAAAGGCATCTGTTGACAGATCTGTCACTAGTTCAAGGTGAAAAACCTTGACACTCATGCAAACAAAAACAGCAATATATATTTTATATTGTCTAGCCTTTCGCAAACTGGTCCCTTTCATAATGATGGGACCCGCATAGACAATACCTACACAAGAAAAAGGGTGGCATTGCTGAATTCTAACGTCAGGTAGATCGGACATGACTGGTTGGAGGTTACGAGCAGATAACCTGACATAAGTAGTGCACTCACTAATTGCGCGGCGAATAACGAGGCGGTCACCCATGATCCAGAATTGTCTACATATTACAGCTGACATGAGACGTGGACCTGCATGACACGCAAACAAATGCCAATGACGAGCTATTAATAATGACAAATATGATGCCTCAGACAACAGAAGAGGGTACTTGCGTCGATCTGACAACAAGGAGTGACGAAGACCTACCCGAATGACACCACACTCATCGATGAACGACGATAAACGTGCAAGTGGTCGGGAAGAGACAGTTTTACCAAATGATAACTCGAGAAACAAAGAGTGTAAGAATACACTGAGAGCACTTGACAACAACTGTCAGTGCATCATTATACTCCTGGAGTGAGAAACAACTTGTATCCACTGGGACCTTGCGACACAATTTGACAAAGCGTTGTAAACGAATTATAACTCTCAACATATGGTTTAGAGAAGAAAAGCGAGAGAACCACTCTACTGGCTCCCCCGTTGTTTCAAACACATGAGAGACAGGACCTGTGACCTCAGGCAACTGGTCTGTTGGAATCAGATTAATTTCTGAAGACCAACTCTCACTGAACTGATGGAGAAAAGTAGGACCTTTCCAATAAAGTACATGCTGAGCTAGCTCACCAAGTCGTAAACCTCTGGAGGCACAATCTGCCGGGTTCAACTCAGTGCTGACATAAAACCAACGACAAGACGGTAACAATTCATGTATCTTATGGACACGGTTAGATACAAAAACTTTATATGACACATGAGTTGTGTTTAGCCAAGACAACACCACTGACGAGTCTGACCAAGCAAAAACATTTTGAATCACTATTTGCGTTGAAAGAATGCTCTTGATATGACTTTTTTTTTTTTTTTTTCAACCGTAACTGGGCGGGAATTGTCGTTTGACATTACTTCCGCCCAGGTACGTTATTTATTGAACAAAATGACACAACAAATAAAATAAAATTGGTTACCTGCAGGGACAATACCCCTGAGGCGTCCTTAACCGTCTTCTATCTGAATTTCTCGGGGGTCTTCGCAAGCCGACCTGAGTCCGCCGCTTTGGATTCTCGTGCATGACCATTTTTCACTAGCCGATCTCATTCCGCCGCTCTCGTACTCCGGTTCAATCACCGCGCACAGCCGGGTCCCTGCTGCCTTGACCTTTCCTCCCGCTCCCTGGCCGCCATGATCCTCCCTATCAACGCAGACACCCTCTGCCAATCCGAGTTTGACCTCAACATAATATGTGTGAGGTTTTCTGGCGCAAGCTGGTCGACGTCTAAGTAAACGCAGGCTTCGACGCGCCATTGGTGGAACGCGTCGCACTGGAATACTGCGTGTTCCGCGCCGTCCGGAGCCGCCCCACACAGCGCGCACCTATCGTTATCTGTTTTACCAAACCGCTTCAGATACTCACCGAAGAAACCATGACCCGTCAGCACCTGGCTCAGGTGGTACGACACTTCACCGTGTTGCCTCCTCAACCACGGTTTGAGCTCCCTGATGAGCCGGTGGGTCCATCTCCCTTTCCCCAAGCTGCCTGCCACCTGTTCGACAATTGGTCCCGGGCGACGCTTTTCAGGATGCCACTGAACGTTTTTTGCCGCTCCTCGGCCAGCAACGCGAGCGGTGGCATACCTGATACGACCGCCGCTGCGTCGTACGAAACCGTACGATAGCAGCAGGCGACCCTAAGCATCACCCTCCGATACACTGCCTCCATCTTCCGCATGGCCTCGGACGTTATGGAAGGAAACCAGAATGGGGCTCCGTAAAGCAGCCGGGACGTAACCACCGTTGCCAGTACCCTTCTCGTCCGCTGCCTGGTAACGACTTAACCAGCGAGCGAGCAACCCAGCTGCACAGAGCTCGAGGCGGGGTATAGAAAGCGTCTTGGTGGGTGCCAGTTTGGTCTTGCAACCTAGCAAAAACATGGAAACTCCATTGTCGCGATCTGATACCCTTAAATACACCACCGCCGCATAGCCTTTGATCGAGGCGTCGGCAAACCCACATAACTCATACTGTGACCCTTTAGAGGTACCAACGAATCTTGGTACTTGAATCAGAGATAAATGATGTAACTCATCAACAAATGATAGCCAGGAACCTTCCAAATCTAATGGAAGTCGCTCGTCCCACGAAACACCAGACCCCCAAACACATTGCAACTGATGTTTAGCATGAAAAATTAACGGAGATAAAAAACCAGAGGGTCAAAGATCCTAGCGATAACTGACAACATACTGCGTTTGGATGAGACAAACTTAGTCGAACTGACATTGTAGTTGAAGGTGTCGACATTCGGATTCCACTTCATGCCTAAGATCTGAACTTGAGGTAAGTTATCGATGTTGAAAGGGAGGGACCCAGCTGCCCGGTCTTCTGGCGGTATATTCTCCAACAAGGGAGCAGAATTACTAGCCCATTTCTTTAACTCTAGGCCGAACTTGCCGAGAATAGAGATCAAATCATCTTTAAGGGCTTGGGCTTCCTGGATGCTGCCTGCACCCGCACAAATGTCGTCCATGTAAGTTTGAGACATCAGAGCTGCTTGTACCGAAGGGTATTGTTGACCATAGACGACAGCGATTTTCTTCAGCACCCTCAGAGCTAAATAAGGAGCTGTTCCAACCCCATAGGTGACCGTGTTTAACTCAAACTCTTGAACCTTGTCATGTGGAGACTCCCTCCATATTATGTGCTGGAACGTTCGGTATTTAGGAGCTACTAAAATCTGCCGGTACATCTTGCAGATGTCAGCGGTAAACACAACTGAATGGACGCGAAACCGAAGTAATATATCCTGTCCTGTTGGAGCTTAAGACCCACAAATAAAACATCATTCAAGGAGGTATTCGAAGAAGGTCGAGCTGACGCATCGAAAACTACCCTCAACTTCAAGTTGTCCCCTTCCCCCTTGTGAACGGCATGGTGAGGGATGAAATAAGTACCAGGAGATTTGGCAACTGACATATGACCGAGAGACTCATAATCAGCCATGAATTGCTTATAAGCTAGGTACAAGGGTTTGTCTCACATCGACTTGCGTTCCAAACGTTCAAAGCGAACAAGTGCCAGCTGGCGTGAACCACGGAAAGTGACAGAAGTAGGTGGAATACGAAAGGGAAGTGGCACAATAAACATACCCGAACTATCGCGATAAGTTTCCTGAGAGAATATCTCCTCACACCTCCCTTTTTCTGTGAATGATTGAGGAGCTTCATCTGGTTCTTCAGTTTCCCAAAACCTCTCAACTAGTGATTCAATAAATGTAGTAAATAAAGAAGTCACCATTGTCTGTTGCTGAGCTGCTGGTGGATGAGAATCAACCGGACCTAATAGAATCCAACCAAAGATAGTGTCAAAGGCAGTAGGCAATCCGACACCCAAGTCACGTCTTCTGCTGTGAGCACTTGAGGAAATATATCGACACCAAGCAGCAATTCAACTGGAGCTGGTGAATCAAAATTAGGATCTGCCAAGACCAGATGAGAACACTTATCGCGAACGGAGACAGGTAGCTGTGCTGAAGGCATTGACCCTGTTATTTTTGGCATTGACCATGTAGAAAGGTCAATCATGCTACCATCTGAAGCTGATTGAATGCTGATCTACACTCTGCCCTTTATGGATTGCACCAACTGACCTGCTAGACCAGCTACTGGGACTGTCCACCGTTCACAAAATAGACCCAGGCGTCTAACACAATCGGAAGTCATGAGACTCACCTGAGAGGCAGGGTCAATTAAAGCCCGAACTGGCTGCAAACAACCAGCTACGTCACGAACGTTGACAGAAGCTGTCCCTAACAATACCGATCTGGTATGTTGAGTTCCGACTAGCAATGCTACAGAATCCTTAACAAGAGGCATGTGAATTATCTCTATGTAAAAGCTGGTGATGACGACCATGACAAAGAGAACATGAGGACTTACATTTGTTAGCCCAATGGTTGTTACTGAAACGTACCATGCACAACCTGTGCTTGCTTACTAGAGTGTAGCGATCATCGATAGACAAAGCCTTAAAGTCAGAACAAGAAGTTTAGGAATGGTTGCCTTTACGCTGCTCACAACACTGAGAGCCTCCAGCTGATTTGTTAGCAACCAATGCTACTGGGGAACCTTGGTGACTGCGAGAAGCATTGGAACTTGACTGAGTTGATTTGTGGTTGTTTGTAGACTTAGGTTTGCCACTCATAAGCTTAGCATGAGGCTTGACTGTGGCATGAACCATAGATGAGCTAGAGTTCTCCAACACCTCAACCCGATCCTTAGCAAAATATAGCAAACTATCAACAGTAGGGAACTCAACAGTGTTTCCCTGTTCAAACAAACGGCGTGTAGTTGAAGGCAAACAACGAACTGATATTGCAAACAACAGAAATGAACCTAAGTCAGGTATATTCAATGACCGAAGAAGAGCTATGTTCTCACAGAAGGTATTTAAAAAGGTAATTAATACTGCTGGGGACTCTTGATGGTTAATTGGAGCGTTGAGCATGTCATTTACCAAGGTAGTAGCCAACTGACGAGGCTTGTCATACCGTTGAACTAAGGCAGACCAAGCCAAGTCATAAGTGGTTTCAGACACTGTGATACCCTTGACCACATCCGTAGGACCAGGCTGTAGACATCCTAATAAATAATAAAACTTCTCTATATTACTAAGATGAGTCCTATTACCAACTAAAGTAGTGAAACGATCCCTAAAGTCTGGCCAATTTTGAAGACGGCCATCAAAGGTAGGCAATGGAATCTTAGGTAGATGAACGTTGGCACCAGTAGGAGCTACACTTTCAATGACCGGACCCACTTGAGCTGTAGGGTTTGATACTGATTCAACGTTGTCAGTAACATCAGGTTTATCATTATTACTAAAATCACTGGCTGCAACACCGGAATCAGAACTAATGCGAAAAGTATTTGCTAAAGCTTTAGCATTAAGAAGAGTATTTCGAACCTCTAACTCAACATTATTGGAAAACTCACTATCCGTACCTAATTCAATCATAGCTTCTAACATGGTGTCAGTCTCAAGAGTAAATGTTGCCCAATATTCAGAAAGATCTTCAATGGCTAAAAGGAATTTTGGAATAATAGAATGATCAGTAGAAGCAGATAAACCCAAATTATAAATTGCCTCAATATGGCTAGCAGCCGCATCACGTTTACAAGAAGCACGTTGCTTATTACGGGTAAGGCGTTCTACATCAGCCATGATAAGGAAAATGAAACAACCGAACAACTAGAATAATAGGAACAATAAACCAACGCCTATCACAATCTGTAGGAGACTACCAAAATATATAACAAAAGACAATTTGATTAAATAGACAAATAAAAAATGTTGAATAACGGTCAACACAACAAATAAACTGAAATATTGATAACTACCAAATACTTATTAAGTTAGAACAATAAACTTAATAAAATCAAAACAAAACAAAAACAAAATTAAAATATAATAATTTAAGCCAAACGGAAAGATTATTAAATATAAGACTGAAATAATATCTAAAATATTCAACTATCAGTAACAAATATAAAACCAATCTAGATTATGTTGAAAAACTTAACAATGAGCAAAAGTTAAAGCCAAATAAAATAACAAACAAATAAATACAATCCAATATCATTAATTATATCAGTCACTACCTAATGACCCAATAGTGAAATAGAGAATAAATTAATACAAATATTCAACCATTTAAGCTAGTAACAATATAACATATAAGAACTGACAACAACTAATGGTAATAATAGCAAAAACTGTCAGCTATAAGATAATATATTAGTATATGACGGACGCCAATCTACTCCGTAACAGTAAAATATTAATAACTGTAATTAGTACTTATGGAAGACCTAATATTAGTAAGACACGAACTGTGCTTTCAGTTTACTATTATAAGAGTGAGCAAGGATAATTATAAAGCCATGTGTAAAGACCTGACCTAATGGCTAATACAATATCCCAATATATTATTAAAGTACTAACACCTAACTGATGAAATATTAAAATATAATATAACTCTTATAATAATATAAAAAACCATAAATTAAATAGGAATTACACCTAATAGATATATGACCTTATATGACAATAATACAACCAATATACCTCAAATCCAGTAATGGCGCTGCACTTTGACTTAAAAACCACGCTCTGCTACCAATGTTTTCGCCTTAGATGCTCCTTGGGCAAAAGGTTGGCATCCACGACTCGCACCACACTGAATTAATACAATTCTGAAATTAGGCTACTGTTAACAAGATTTATTGAACACATATAATAATACAAATACACTTACCAGGGAATGGCCAATCCACCTGACATAACTTACAAATATAATAAAATGACAATTAATCAAATAATAGAGCTATTCAATATACATAATATACGGGAAAGGAGGAGCTGCCGATGTCCCGGATAAATTCGGATGAACTTCCTGCGTCTGTCGAGCTGACGGTGTGGACGAGCAACCACACATGAACGATCAGGCCACGTTGAATCCGAGCTGATGAAACAATGGAGAAGTCACTCTTATTGCCTGACGCCGAACTGGAGGTGCAATAAATTTGACAATTGCAACCAGCGGAAATGCAATTTCGAAAAAATACAAACAACTTATGAGTTAATTGCAAAACTTGCTGTACAAGTACATAAGGTCTGGAGCGACGGACAAAAGGCACATGTCATGGCCAAGAAAGGTAGTTAAAAACGACGAAGAATGATATGGCTCCGTATTGTGTGTCAGGGCATACGACGGTTAACACGACCGGAGCTGGTGAACAAGAACAGTGTCACCGACATTAGCAAAAGAATACTAATGGCCAGTGGAGCCTATGTCGGGGCGCGAACAGACCGATCGAATGACCGGCCGTGGGTTTTCTACCGCGGCGTCCGGCGATTTTTGGGTGATATTTCAGTATAATTTTCAGTATTATAATATTAATATTTAATATCTTACAATATTATTTTGTATAATACAGTGCTATCTATATGGTTGTACTATTGATGTGAGTTTTGAATTATGTTTGTGGCAAGGTTTAGTTTTATATAGGCAACCCATTGTACACGTTCTTATCAATGGCTGGGTCAATTGCTAACTTCACGCTCGTATTAATTATTGGTATGCGTTGAATCAAATCAACAAATAGGTTATTCACACAGTAATGCATATCGCTGGACTTACACAAATGTCTGCTGTTTAAATGTACTCGAGGATAGTAAATAATAAATAATGTACAATTGATATTTTAAAATGACTGATGTATATTAACGAGTATATTAACATTAGCAATAATCCAACCACAATGTAGAGAAGAGAAGGTGATAACACTCGACTTGATTGGGAGAAAAAAAGTGGATTATTTTTCGACGGCAATTTTTTAGTTTAAATAATATCAACAGGGGGCACCTCAAGCATCGAAGGCCGGTTGTTATTCAATATTTCAATAATTTAGCATTATAACCACTATGCAATAATGCGTTATTTTCATTAAATCGTAATTTATAAATAAATAAATATTTTATTTAAGATGAAAAATACCTGTGCGTGCCTATACATATATAATGGTATATGAAACATTTTATTCAACTGCCTATATATAAGTTGACAGTTGGAAATTATAGCAATATTGCATTTAATAGTATACAACTCATTACGAAGGTAATAATTTCTATATTTTGTAAGACATTCAAAACTATTTATATATACCTACTTTATAATGTAAAAGAAATAATAAATAAAATCGATGTAACGTTGAGTTATCTGGATTATTATCGTATACGTATAGCTATAAGCTGGACGGTTCCCGGTTATGACGCAGACACGCAGTGGTAGTTTTTTATATTTTGTATAGAAATTTATTGAATTCATCTGTTATCACTTATCAATGTCATAATATCTTTATTATTTTTGGTCTAATAATATTTATAACAGTAATAATAACATTTATAATAAAAAAAATTTATTCGCATTAATTTTAAAAAAATGTATCCCTTCGGCTCGACTGCGTTTGCCGTGTCAAGCGTCGATGAGTTTATCCTTTTGACAGGGGACTAGGGACACGGACTGGTGTCACGAGCTTTGGGGGAGGGTGGGGGGCGAGCGTTTAGTAAAAAAATTAAATAATAATCCAAATTTGATCGATAATAAAAAAAATACGCCATACTTATGGCAGATAGGCAACCTAATTTACTTATTAATTTGCTAAGGAATGAAAATTACGAGGACAAGAAGTGAACAACGAATAAGGAATTTTACTGGTATATGGTGGTTTATTTTGATTTATTTGGTTTGATAACCATAGTGTACAGTATAAATAACTTTGTACTCTTAATACAAACTAACCCTTTAAAAATAACTTCAGGTGACACCCCTCTTGAATAATAAGACAATGCAACTAGACAAAATGGGGAGGACACTTAGAACCACATACAATGGTTGGTGGTAAACTCACGATAACCCCTCTGGAACCAACACCGATTGAAAATCACCATGAACAATGATGAATGGTCGAAACAGAAATATTCAACCACTGGCAATTATTAATGGTACGTGGTGTGGCCTGTGTTTGCGCCTAACTATCCTGCACAATGAAAAACTTCGGTTGTGCTTAATACATTTAATAACGTTAAAATATTTGTTTGCTTCCAGTTCTTGCCCTTGGACAGTGACCACGTCAGAGAATCAGGATTCTGTATTTATAACAATTATTATTGTTATAATTGACAAGTGTTTTTATCTTCGTGCTATAAGGTCGTGTAGCACATTAGCACGTAATATGTGCATCATATCAGTTTAACGCACTAATATTGTATTTAGAATAAAAATATTTTAAATAAACAGCGCAATGAGTTTCGATTTTTTTTTTGCTACATGTCGTATTCAATAATATCCTCATTATTTAGTTTTAATTTTCCCAGCTCTCTTCAGACTTCTTCAAAATTCCGTGTGGCTTTCAGTTATTCCTTAATGTGTTATAATGGATATGAATTATTCTATATAAAACACATACATTTAAAGTGTGCAAATTAATTTTTGATAGTGGCGTTTCAAACGTAAATGTTGTCGTATTTTGCGGATATCTACCATTATAAACTTTTATTTTGCCACAAATAATAATTATTATCTTGCAAGGTATGATAGTTTAATGTATTTTCAAGTGAATACAAAGATACAAAAAAACGTATTCACAATATACGAAATTACGAACGCCAGTATTAATTACTTTAATAAATCATTATAATAGACGCAGTTCGACAATTTTTACATATCTAATCAAACAAATCTTGATTACTTTATTTGTTTAGTTTTTAACATCTTACACTTTAAAGGATTGTATTTTTTAATTGTTGTGTGTGTAACGTTTCTTACATATCTAGGACTAAGAACCAAGCCTGTGCTTCAGAAATAGTGAGTTTTTATTATTGTTTATTCTATTATTATATAATATACTTTTAATTGTTGGGCCAAAAGGGCTATAGATATTCAGCGATTATTACCTGCCTAACTTTTTGTTAAAATATAGTCATATAAATAGTAGGCACATATCTAAATTATTTTACTATTAATTCTTATATTATTGTGTTTAACATTTTATTATTGTTATTAACTTACAGATCAATATCGACATAATGACAGCATTACAACTTACAAGAATGCTGTAACTAGACTCATAGTATAAATAGCAAACAATTGTCTGTCATCGCCTTTTATGACATCAAAAAAGGTTTGAATTTTCTACTTAGGTATTTTTTTTGTTAGGAAAGTGAATCTAATTGGTTCTTTAAGGAGTAACAAATTAAGGAAAAACGAGAATTTTTAAGCAAAACCAGTTAACGACAAAATCAATTTTGTTTTTAGGTGTAAGTCAAAAAACTAATAACCGTAGATCCTTTAAATCGTCATCAAATATTAATGTCTGTTTTCCATACATAATGACATTTTCGAAATATTTTGACTCTTTTCAAGCTGTTTCTAGGCATGAGAAATGTTTGATTTATTTTTAGATTTTTTTAAATTCTTGTGAATAAATAATTTTTTAGTCACAAAACTTGAAATTGAATACAATGTTCCTTACAACTTTTAAGTTATTATCAGTGTGAAAAAAAAAGTGGTGCTTAGATCCAGAATAATTTTTTATTGGCACCTGAAAATGCTGACAAAATTCATCAAAATCGCGAAAATTCGCAAATTATTTTGTAGTTCAAATGTATAAAATATATTACTGCAGTAGCCAATAATCTAAAAAATGTAAATACAGTTTTTTTTATAGATATTTCAAGTTCAAATTTGGACACGATTAGATATTAATCGCGGACTTATGGTAGAGATTTAAAACATTTACGGAAAAGACATAATGGCATTTGCAAATTATGTTTTCTGCAAAAACTAAATGAACCTTTATTGGTATACTAATGTCGAAAATAAATTACTCCGATTGAAATATCATAAAATATACTTTTAATACTTATATGCTGGCAATTTAACAAATCCATTAGTTCCTCAAACGACATATTATAATGTACTGTACAACAGAGCCAATGGGGCGATACCCACGTGTCCACGTTTTTTGTTTATTGAATACATATTGATTATTCAATTATAACTACAAATAAATACAATATTTTATTTAAAACGCAAATAATTCCCAATCCTGGTGTCCTAATAGATTGCTTTCAAGGACTATCAAAATATTTAATATACTAACTATACCCTAGCTTAAATTTACAGTGTATTACACGTAGTCTATATTTTTATCAAAAAATTTAAAATAACAGCGTAAGGGGGCCACTTATATTTAAGCCATGGACTGTACCTTTACGAAGCTATTTTTTTTCTTTTTATAACAATATAGGCCATGTGTAATGACATTGTATATTTAAGGCAGGGCATAGTTAGTTTATTAAATATTTTGCTTGTCCTTGAAAGCAATCTGTTAGGACATTAGGTTAGGAAAGTATTTCCGTTTTAAATAAAATATTGTATTTATTTGTAGTTATAATTTAATAATATATACTTACCTATTCAATAAACAAAAAAGATGGGCAAGTGGGTACCGCCATTTTAGTTTCTTACCGTGATAAAATGATATAGTGCGGAGGGTTTTATTGCAGTAAATCAGTATATTGAAGCTATGTGTTGCATTGTGTTAATGTGTTACATACATACTAAAAGTTGTAAGCCAAATTATGACGGCACTGTTCTGACTAGAACTATAAACGATTCAATTTTATTAAAAACGTCATATAACTAATAATTTATTCGAACATTATGTAGTATTTAGAGACCAGAGACCGTGGAAAAATCATTATTTTTCAGTTGTTACATTTGTATCGCTTATGTTGTCATTGGTATTTATTTTCCGTGTTAGCACCTAGTAAGTAATAACCTATGAATAACATACCTACCTATAATATGTTAATCGAATTATGTAGCATATTATAAAATAATTGTGTTCTAAAATGTTTAATTTGATGCTTGCATTCCAACGGTCAACCCTGACTGAATAAATGATGAACGTGTTAAAAATAATATTTTGAATTTTCGGTCATTTTCGACACCGACAATTCGTACTCCTAAAAACCATAGAGTATTACCATCACATGATTTCTTTCACAAATAAATTATTTCATTTTATTCATTAGAACAAACGATGCCTATCACTATTGATCTTATAATAATATCTAAATACATTATTGACCTAAGTATCCAACATTTTTAATTTATAAAAGCAAATACCTATTTGATAAATAAATACTAATTTAATTTTAACCTAATGATTTTAAATAAATATTTCCAAATACCTTTGTGGTATCATTAGTTATACTATAGGTACACAGATAAGTAATCGCATAGGAGTTTTCGGTGACTAAAATAATTATACTGTCGGTCTCTAGGTTTGCTGTGTACGCTTACATTGTACTAACGCAAACGGATACAACGAACCTTTAGAGGCTGACTGCATAATTTTAGTCGCCGAAAACTACTATGCGATTACTTACTGTGTATAGTATAACTAATGATACCACAAAGGTATTTGAAAATATTTATTTAAAATCATTAAGTTAAAATTAAATTAGTATTTATTTATCAAATAGGTATTTGCTTTTATAAATTAAAAATGTTGGTTACTTAGGTCAATAATGTATTTAGATATTTAGCAACTGGGGCAACATTTAACTAAAAGACCGTCAGTACAAAGCCTATTATAATGAATACCATAGTCGACTAACTATGTATTATATTAGTAGGTAGGATACATATAAATAAAACCTGCGGAAAGACTCAAAAATATTAAAAATAATATAATAATATCTTAAATAAATACATAATATTATTATTATTATACATATTATATGTTATATGTTATAATTCATAACATTAATTTTCATATATAATATGTAAGCCTACAACAATTATATCAACAAAAAACTTAAAATTAATAATGAGACAGTTCTTACAAACTTTCGCTTCCTCACACCTATCCCACCTGATCTTAGTTATTATATTTTTTTAGAAAGAATTCTAAAATATATTTTAGTTAAAATTGTTTATTACTAGAGTATGGATTTTGAAGCACTAAAAAGTAAGACCATAGAAAGAGCATTTAAAATAAGGCAATCTAACAATCATATAGAATTAACAAATTTGTTTTCAAAAATATATTATGTTTTATCAAAACTATACTGTAATTACCTATTTATAACTGTAATTTGTATTCCAATGGTTAATCTATCCATTAAATAAACTGTTTTAGATAGTTTATAAGAACTAATAAAATAATAGTACCAAGATCATTTACCTAAACCATTTGAGATTTTGAGGTACATTGGACAAATAAAGTTTTTTTAAGTCTTCAAACAAAATTGTTTGTCGACGAACAGACAATATATGTTTATATTTTGAAAAACTACGTACTACACCAACTGATGCAAATGAAGCAAATTTATAATGAATTAAATCTTCACACGCATGTTACATCTTCAGGGGAGTTCTTGTCTCGATGTTTTTTCGCCCGATATTATTGTAAAAATTAAAATGGACTTTTATCAAAAATGCTACAAACCAGTGTTTTATTAATAACTGCAGATTTGAGTTTAATGGAAAAACAGAAAAACAAAAATTGAAATGTAATTAGTGTACCTACTATATAATTGATTGAAGCTCTAAAAATATATTTTAAACAAACGGCATTAGCAAAAAACTCTAAATTAGCCCAAAAAAGATTTAGTTTAGAGCCAACCTTTGTTTTGGACCGGTAGAAAAAACAAGCAAACGTCATCAAAGTCCGTATTTCAAATAGTAAATATCTTTAAAAATAAAAAAAAGGTAATAGTATGGGGTAGCTTATTATTATATTTCATGTACTTACCTACTATAAACAAAAATATATACTAGTCAAAAATGAATAACTGTTGGGTAGGTAGTGAAATGTTTTCGGAAACCACCCGGGGAGGGGCCGGGTCACGGAGCTAAGTCACCGGGGCCTTGCGCGCGCGCGCCAGACGTGTCATGCGTCAGGCATTCGAGCGGCGGAAAACCGACGACGACGGCTGATAAACGCCGCGTAAACGGAGCGCGTGCGCGGGTCTCGCCGACACGCGCGCGCGAGAGCACGAGGGTGGGCGGACGCGAGCGAGCGAACGCGCGCGGCGCACGCACGCGCTCGTTTTGGTGCGGCGGCGGCGGCGTCGGTGCGCAGTAGTAGGTAAATCGCGCCCGGCGTGTCAACCGCGCGCGTGCTTACAGCCGATAGTGGCCGACCACCGACAGACAGGATAGAACCGCCGCGGCAGAGGGAGAGTGAAAAACATCGCACAACTTTATAATATTATCTCGATGTTATTTGCTTGATTCGTAACTTTACCTCGTCGCGTTTCAACCGTCGCCTTTTGCTACTTGGGCATAAACAGAATAAAAAATTCATTCAAACTTTTTGTGGTTTTTTCGTCGACATTTTTGTAACAGTCGGTTCGTGACAATTGTGCGGCATATTAAATTTTTTTTTCACGCGTCCAGTACCCGCACACGCTCATACGGTCGTGTAGTTCGCGTGGCTCGCATACATTGTACGTAAGCAGGTAATCTCATCTCACCACAGCCTGCCTGTATTGTACGCGTAAAGTTTTGTCTATTACATTATATATATACATTTCTTGTGCAGTCGTCGCGAGCCATCTCATTTGTTTTTTTACACATTTTGTTCCCGTTTCTCAGTCCTTGCAACGGTTCTGTCAAACTCGTCATAGCGAACGTCCTCGGAACGTTCGCCGCGCCGCGTGATTTCGATCGGGGTTCAGACCTGTTGTACCCGGGCACGATGTCTTGAGAGTGTGAAGTGACCGAGCGGAGAAATAGTTCACGGTATCCACATGGCCGGGGCACTGGAAATTCTTCAAGAAGTGAGTGCTAAAACTAGAGCTTATTTAATATTTAACAACCCTGCAGATATTTTATAATACGTATATATTAAGGTGTAGTTAGGGACCATCAGTTGCTACCGTCTGCGGAATTCAGGTGACGAACTTGTTCTAGTTGTCGAGCCGCGTTCTAAGACTTATCATTACTATTATTATTTATTTTATTTTTGTCTCCGGCTTTATCTAACCACTAACCCAATACCCGACCGGAACACGCCGCACACACGTCTTGTATCATTGTTTTGTAAGAATACACCTTGAGTCGGGACAAAACGAGTCACGTCGTGTGCTTTCCGATCGGTACCTACTTAGACTTATTAGGTTTTGTTTTGATCCGCCGCCAACAAACTCTTCGCTATGGTATGTCCGCCTTATGTGTATATCTTGTCTTTAGCGCGGATGATGGGGCAGCGTTAAAGTCTCCTTGCAGCACGTATACTTTTGCTGGGATTTGAAAATGTTAAATCTCTAATGTTTTTATGTTTATAATATACTGTCTGCGACTATTGGCTAAATATGCACATAGTGTTATTATCGATTCGTTATTATTATTTTAAAATTTCTAGCGTTGTTTTAGTTCTACAAATTGAACCATATGGTTATTATTGTGTGCTATAGATTTTACAGTTAGATTCATATATATTCCTAATATTTTAATTTATAAGAATATCGTTATGCGAGGTAATTTACACCGCGTTATTTGGAGCCAAGTTCCAACGTTTTCCAATAATAACACTGATAATTATTCGAATGTTGAATTACTAGAATCTCTCAAAAATATAAACAATATTTGATATTCTGGGAGTTTTCAAGTATTTAGGATTTAGGAATTCATTAAATAAATTCTTGCAGACCCGGCATTAATCATAATTAATTTATATTTTTTATATTTATAATTTTTACGAAATAATTTTCAAAATAAATTAAAACCCATTTTAATATTAGTATATAGTATTAATAATAGTATTTTACACCTACCTATAATTCATAAACGATTTTGTCTTTTCATAATTTTAAAATCAAAAGAAATATGAATGAATTACCTACCATTGCATTGAGACAATTTTCTAAACAAAAACGCATTGAAACTTGTGGACTTTAAATATATACTTATTTAATTAATATCGTACAAGTACCAATTAATTTTACCATCGCTGTGTATAATATTACTTTAATATTTTGTTCAAGAAATAGTAGCGATCTCGATGTATATAAATGGTACGTCTTACCTCTTATTAAGATAGAAATAATTTTTTTCCGTCGAAAATTCGATTATTTATATTGAAATGGGTAAACTGATTTGTATCACAGCTTAAAATATAAGTATAATCATCTCGCTATTTAATCTCCACTAAAGAAGCTATACCAACACGACGATAAAACAGGTTACTCTGCAGTACTCGGTATATTTATATATTTATTAAATGAAGATAAGACATAGTAAACCTAATGATCTTTTTTAAGTTCCATATTTTTTCAAATTAAAAACAAATAAACGTAATAACAAACTAGCCTATACTACTCCGTATTCTTGTACACCTACATACATTATGTGTACATACCTGCGAGGAAAATAGATCGTACAAATTTCTATACGCGAACGTGTACGCCAGTTTGTTGTACGCGTGCAACGTTATCCCAATATTACGACACATTCGGCTCGTACAATATTATAACACTGTGTTTAGATGTAGGTAGGTGCCGTGTGTCGTTTTCTCTAAAATTCAAAACCGCCGAATATGATCGGATTCCGCCTCGGGCCAACCGACTGCAGACCAGACTTCACAGTCTACATGCATAATATTATGAGTGCCAGGTATAGCGTACCTATGTAACGCCGTACAGTAAAACGGCGTTGTGAAATTTAAATTCAAACTCCCGTTTTCGATCTAAATCAAAATTGCCCTCGTGACTATTATACGCATATACGCCTATATAGGTACTGGTGTATGCAGACAAGCGACGTCGATTGTTACTGTTAAAACGATAATAACTTACCCGCGCTGACGTTTGGAGAGGTTTTATCATAGTGAATTTACACACTGCACACTCCCACGTATATATGTAATATGTATACACTCCGACATAAAACCGTCGTTGACAATATTGGTATTGTGTGCAGTACTACCTACATTCCTCGTGGATCGGCGGTGGTGATCGTTTCGAAGTACACCTAATACCTACCACAAAACGAAAAACCCATTATTTTGTTGGTGGTAAAATTAATATATACATAAATGTTCTGTACTACATTGTTGTCAATAATAATATTAATTGTCGTCGACGTTTAACCGACGATTGAGAATATGTCAATAAATTAAATACACAATGGCTAATATCAAAATAGATATTTGAATTAAAAATTTTATGGAGTGTGTATATGACAAAGAAATCACTTTGCTATATACTGGTTGGGTGGACTAAAATGTACAACCACGAAGCAGCGTAAACTAAGCATAGCCTTCCGATTCTACACAAGTGCAGAAGTATTAAATTTAATAAACGTATACAATTTATTAATTTTATCCAAATATTAAAATACTTCACGCTGTGATAAGTATAAACCAAAAGGACAGAATGCATTAGTCATTTAACTAAAAAAAACTTATATAGTGTTATATAAACCTACATTTATATTATATTATAGCTCCTATACACATATATTACAGTTTTTAATGAATATTAATGTCAATGAAATTTAAATATTATCCTGTTCCCGTATCGATTAATATTTAATATTCGCTCTATTTAAATTCAGTATTATTACTCGTTTGACGGCGTCCTACAGCAGTTCACCCACAACTACTTAATGTGTAAGAGGCGTTTGTGTAGGCAATTTAAGTACAGTCTTGCACGATCCTCCATCCGGTCGCATAATTCGCCGAGCATATACTCGTGTTGTCCGTCAAGAAAAAGCATGTGACTATAGGTATTATGATAGGTACTTGATTCATTTTTCTGATAGTGGTATGCAAACAGTTACGTTTGAAATATTTTATGATGTCAATATTTTTTTTTTTAACTTTTCCGGAACTGAAATTATTGTTAGGTTAATTGTATTTCAATTGACTGTGGTTTAATTTACCATAATATATTCAAGGACGTGCTCGGGGAAAATCTAGAGGGGGAGTGGATACCTATTTATTTTTGAAAACCAAGGACGAGGATGAAGGCCTTTATTTTCTGTAATATTTAGGTAAATCAACAAAAAAAAATTCTTTTATCACATTTTTACCGTGGTAAAAAAGAAAACATTTTTCTACAAACCATTTTATAAAATTAAAATTAGTGAAATACGGGTTATCAAATTCGCTCTGCTCCCGAATTTTTAATTACATAATGATATTATACATTTATACCTATTGTTGTTATGTTTTTAATTATACTATTTAAGTTACGCGTTTACACATAGTAACCTGCTTGTGTACATAACTATTACTTGACTATATTAGACCATACTTAGTGGCTAGTGCACAAAAACCTAACTGATTCATGTTAAGAAAAATGTATGCATGTAACAACATAAATTCTATAATTAATCTTCCTGATTAAAGTTCACCAAAATTTAAAAAATTAGTATAATATGTGAGAAATGTATTACTATAAATCCTATAATAAATTATTTATTCTGAACAGGATATCAGAGCACTATTTCTTTACTCTCTCAACGTATGAAATGTGCTTTCAGCAGAACTAACCTTGTGTTATTAGCTTCTTGAATATTATAGTAAAAATGTACCTATCATAGAGTTAGGAACATTATCTGTGTTTGTACGATGGATTTTTTTATGATATTTCAATTTGTATGCAAGTTATGAAAAGTAATGATATGATATTAAATTAAGTGTTGAAATACATTTGTAAGTGGTTAGGTGGACGGTTAGATATTAATAAGATACCAACAGTATTTATTAGCTATAAAGTACCATTAATGTAAATTTATATTTTATATTTATCACGTGGTATGAGGTGTTCACTAAAAATGTTCACAATTCGTTATTTTATTCGTTTAGATGTATGTATTACACAAAAACATTCAATTGTTGTATGTATGAGGTCACACTTTAATAAGCGACGCCGGACACCTAGAATCCAGATAGTTCTGTCAGTCCCGCGTTATAGTACTGGCACAAACAAGTAAAATAAATATGTGTACTATTCGTTTGGAAACAATGCCAAGAAGGTGAAGTGGCTTTTTAACATTGTATGTCATTTGCAAGCACGGAGCGATTCTGCCTATCGAGTTTCAGCGGCAGCTCACGAAAATAATAAGTTTAGGACACAATAATATTAGATTCAGGTTAGTGCAGTCAACACATTGAAAGTGAAATTTTAGAATGGCTATATATGTTTTAGGAAATCTGAAATGATCAATCAGCGGTAATTGTATCACAAGTATGGCCAATATTTTAATCACTTTAAATGTCAATTAATATTATTAAGAGACAAGTCTAAAAAAACATTCTTAGAACTTGATTTTTATAAACTACCACAATTTCTAAAGACGACTATTTTGATGATTTATAATTTTCAAAATGTCATTACATAGTACACAGAGATATTATATAGGCTTTTTTCTATTCAAGTCTTGAGTGTAAAGTATAATTTTTTCTTGTTCAAAGTGCCAAACTACATTTATACAGACAATTTTAAACAATAAATTAACAAATATCAATCACTATTAACTCTTTTTTTTTAAATAGGACGGTCGTTCAAATTGAGTATTGTATAATCAACGAATTTTCACAATTAAAACAAACATTTTTTTTCATCATAAATAAATCACTACAAAGCGTATAAAAAATTCTCTAAGAAATATAACACGCATCTCTTATAGATTTATATACATATAAGATAATATAATAATTGACACATTAAATAACCGCGTATGGTAACCATAAATCCTGATTTTAAAAAGTGAATGGAAACTAATTATGTTACAGTTTAAAAGTATAAATTTATTATTATGATAAAACAGTAGA